AAACAGCATGGTATTTGCACAAAAACAGACTGGTAGACCAATGGTACAGAATAGAGGACAAAGAGACTAACCCACAAAATTACAATTATCTTATATTAGACAAAGGTGCCAAAAACATGCATTGGAGAAAAGATAGCCTCTTCAACAAAGGATGCTGAGAAAACTGAAAAATCCATATGCAACAAAATGAAATTAAACCCCTATCTCTCACCATGTACAAAACTTAACTCAAAGTGGATCAAGGACCTAGGAATTAAAGGAGAGACCTTGCATCTAATAGAGGAAAAAGTAGGCCCTAATCTTCATCATGTGGGATTAGGCCCCAACTTCCTTAATAAGATTTCTATAGCACAAGAATTAAAACCAAGAATCAATAAATGGGATAGAATCAAACTAAAAAGTTTCTTCTCAGCAAAAGAAACAATCTGTGWGGTAAACAGAGAGCCTACATCCTGGGAGCAAATTTTTACCCCTCACACATCAGATAGAGCAACTAATCTCTAGTATATAAAGAACTCAAAAAGCTAAGCACCAAAAAAACCAAATAACTCTAATGGTTATGTATATGGATATTTCGTCTCTTCCCACCAGATGGTGATGCTAGATAAATAGAAGGTACTGAATAGTGAATTGAATTTATTTTTCATAACACACACTAGTACCCTGCTTAGAGGGCTACAGCCCTTTTACACATTTGTGTGCATGTATGTGTGTTTGCGTGTTTTGGAAGTCTGCTGGAATCACCAATTTGCAAAGGTACATGAATGAAAGATGCACAGTTTTTAGAAGAATTAAATGAACTTTGTACAGGTCTAAAACAAGCCTTTAGGATCACGTCTCCAGCTCCCTCTCCATTTCCTAATGAAGCTAGAAAGATTAAAATATCTGTTGGGTAGATGTGGCTCTGCATTTCAAGCATCTTCACAGTCTCTCATCATTTTTGATGATTTAGTAATAATGTAGGGTGCAGCAAGGTAGTTGACGTTCTCCCACAAAATATCAGAATTGTTTTTCATTTTAATATACTTTTTAAACTTAAAAATCATAAAATGTTCCTTAGAGTGACAGTTAAGCTTCAATATTTATGACCTTCCAATTGCTCTAGCCGTTTAGGAAAAAATTAAAATGAGCCCTCAAGTAAAATTTAAGTGGAAAAGATTAAAATTCAGAATTATGGACTTTTCTCATTTGAATGAATCCTCACTTTTTTTTCCTGGAAGTTTTATGTGCTAGGCCTAGATTCCTTATATTTGACATTCCTTCAAAAAGTACTTCATTTCTCTCTTGAAAATACATGAACCATTTTATCTTTTGAAAGTAAACCCTTTTGGATCAGTACAACTTACCCCACCCAGATTTTGTACTCTCTTTTTAACTACAAACCCAGCATCCATCCTGCCCCAAATGAGTTCATTCTGGGGCACAAGCTGAGATCTTTTGAGTGAGTGAAAGTGGATCAATGACAGGACATAATTATCTTTAGGGTATTTAAAAATGCTATTAGTTGTGATATCCATATGGCTGATTTGTGATGGGTACTCAAAATTGTTTAATATTTAGCTTTCTTGTGAATTCTTGTTTTCTGATTCATGTGAATTAAGTCTTATGACTAGAAAACCCATTAAAGTACAATTTAAGAGTAAACTATTTGTTTCAACAAATATGTGAGTGAACTCTCAACACTATCCAGGTGTTGGGAGTATAGCAGCAAGTATCACTACATTAAACCATGTTTCCTAATCCAAAATGCAGTTCTTTAATCATTTCATAATTTTGTGATTGGTCTATTTCTTCCAATAGTGTGTTTCTACAGCTATTTACTTGAGTATGTTAATTATTTGGGTTGGGGAGAGGAATAATAAGGGTCTTTTAAGATTGTTATGGTGTAATCTCATTACTATGAACTCTAAATGTTGCAAAAAAAGAATATACATACAATCTATATTAATTTAACAATCTCAGAAAGGAATAAGGAGTCATCAAGAAGACTAGTTGAAATTGAAACTTTTATTGTGCTTCTTTAAAATATTTGTTTTGTTAAAAAATCATTATCATTTTCCCCTTAATTTTCCTAATTAACTCTTTCAACAACTGAGTGCTCACTAAACACTGTTTTAGGTGTTGAGAGTATAGCTGCAGATATCATGGACAAAAATCTCGGCCCTTGTGGGATTAACATTCTAATGAATCCTAATTAATTAGTTGGGTATTATTGTTATTCAAAAGCTTGTTACATGAACTTATTGAGCTTTCTACAAAAGACTCAAGTAGTCATCCATTTCAGTCTCGCTAATAAAAGCACCAAAATGAGTATTTTAGGATTTGATTCCAAGGGGAGCATCATGCAAAGAGAAGTGATAATCCCCCTTTTTCTAGATTTGACCTCTAAGAGAGTGGGGCCAGCTCTGAGAAAAGCAACAAGGAAAATGGAGAAATGGTCAGGACTGTTCGGATAGTGATTATGTCCTTCTATTTACCTATGAAAACATTTTAAGAGGCAGAAGGGAAAAGTATCTTTGCATCTGGTCTAGGAGAAAGGTTTTATTCAAAACAACATCTGAAACAAACAAACAAACACCCCCAAATCTAGTCTTGGCCAATTTGGGAATTTTGAGGATGGGGTAAAATTTTAGGCAGAGTTGGCCCTACTTCCAAATAAGAATAATCCCGAGTTTGGGCCTTCATCTCCCCCCACCTCCCATCTACTCCTTTCTCCATCTGACTAATTTGTGTCATTGTGTGGGGGAAAGAACTGGGGGTCTGTTCTGTTGACCTGCACTTACACTGCTACTCTGCTGTTTGCAATTGATGTGAGCATAAACAAATACCTCACTGAGCCTCCACTCTCCCACCTACAAAGTAAAGATAAAAATACCAAACTCAGAAGGATTAAATATAACACATGCAAAGATGCTCTGAAGCAATTAATAACAAGAATTAGCACAACAGGTAATACTTCCTTAAGCAATGAAAATAAAACTCTGAGAAACACAGTAACTCTATCTGAAGTTACTCTCAGTTTGTGCCTTAGATTACACCACACGTGAAGCTGACTCCTTTCCCTGCAGAGAGCCCTTCTGAAGCCCAGCCTGATCTGATGCCCGGTTACTCACTCTTGCCAGGCTGGTCCCAGATGGAACTTTGTAAGGGACATACTTCCTGTAGATATGACCAACTCTAGAACAGGGAACATCAAACATTTCTCCTCCACACATCCAAACCTAAAGAGGGGAAAGYACAACAAAAGAGAACAGTGAATTTCAAAAAGGATAATTCAACATAATAATTCATAAAGGAATTATTAACGGGATTCATACAAGAGCATAAAACTCTCTTAAAGTTGATCAATGAATAATTTCTGTTTTAAGTGGCTAACCAAGAAAACACTTTTAAAAATAAAAAAAAAATAGAGTTTTATAGTTATAGTAGTTGGGTTTTTCCTGACAAATTCATACCTGCATGGAAATCGATTTCAGTTCATGACCTGGCTTTTCCATTCCCTTCTCCCTCCAGTCCTCTCCCCTCCCTCTACTTCCTCTACTCTGTTAGATTTCATTTTGCTTTCTATTAATTTGTATTGGATTGGCCCTTTATGTAATATTATCCTCCCCTCCTTTTTCTTTATTTTACTCTAGTATCTATACATGAGAGAAAATATTCAACCTTTGAGTTTCTGAGTTTGGCTAAATTCACCTAGCATGATATTCTCCATTTCCATCTATTTACCTGCAAATGCTATAATTTCATCCTTTTTTTWT